CAACACTATCACCGTCGATTTTAACATCTTGAAAGAAAAACAAAAAAAGAAAATTGAAAATTTTTCTATGCATTATTTTTTAAATATTCAACCTGGACCAAATGGTTGTTCTTTCGGCCAAAGAATACTTGTAACCCATTCAACACAATGTTCCGGTAAACGTGGATTATGTGCAATTGTACATTGAGGAAAATTAACCTTATTATCAAAAATTTTTTATTTAAACCAACGACGCAAAAAGTCTTGGCACAAAACATTCGATCATTAGAAACAAGATCAGAATTTTTTGTTATTTTCGAATATATATTCAGACTTTCTTTCTGAGGTTTAGATTGAGCACATATTAGTGTATTTTATGAAAAAAAAAAATTCAAAACTATGTCTATACAAAGCAAAATAGCGATTTTGGCGCAGTACTTAATTCATATTTTGAAACAACTTCAACTCAACATTATTATAAAGCACTAAATTAGATATTACGACAAACGAAATCTGATCTATGGGTTTCCAATCGAGAGCTAGTATCTATGGCAATCGAGATTGGTCAAAAAAGTCACTGTTTCGAAAAACTATTTTCGTAATCTATCATGTAAGATAAAGTAGAACAGTAAATAGCATGCCATCAGGAGATGGTCGTAAAAAGGTCGAAAAGTGCTTCAGAAAATTCTGACTAATAAGTCACACGCTTTATGACTGATATTAATTTGATTGAAAGAAAAAATAGAGAACGAAAGAATAGCGAAAAACTCAATGTTGAGAAAAGTATTTTTTGAAATTTTCAGTCAACAAGATGAAGACATTTTATTGCATGCAAAAAAAGTAAAAGACGTATAAGTATTCCAACAAGAGATACTAGTGTATGAACAATATTTAAAAACAAAACTAACAACAAGACAATACGTTTCTTTGTGTGGTGTGGATGTTCATGTGAAGAATACATGTAGATATCAGCCTTCTCTTTACATCAATCCCTACATTCACACTCACACCCCACAGTCTACCCTGAACAGAGTCACTTAATGACATGTAGAATATTTTTTAGGGATATGTATTTTTTCGACATCCTTTCGTTTGCTATTTTTTCTTTCGGTCAAATTGATACATACTTGCTTTATTGTATGGAATAATACTAACATTCTAATAGAGTTCAAACATAAGTCAAGAGTGAAAAAAAAGAAAAAATTGATGCTGTCATTTTTTTCATTTAGCATCTGTAAATGATAAACCATCTAAATATTCTAAAACAATTACAACACTATCAAAATGGCGTCCAGCAAGATTGTCCATACGACGCTGAATTACAATGAAATAGCTGACGATCATGGATCACTTAAATCTAGTGAAGATAGAGTAGCTGCAGCTATGTCACTAGAATTCCAGTTGTATAATAGTTCTTTGTTCGACTCTATTAGTTACAAATCCAGATCAGTAGAGGTATCAGAAAAAGTGACAATGAACTATAGGTGCTTAGAGTAACCATCTACTGAAGACATCACTTTGTTTTCGATTCTTTTCCAGTACACCATTTCAGGTGTGCCGCCCCAATCTCGAACAATATCCTATTTGTCTTGCTGATCAATCCTCACAACAAGGGTCAACCTCCACCGAGTATTAGTGACCTCGGAACACCTCTACGCGTTTTATAGGACAATCTGACAAGACAATCTCTGTAGATGCCCCCTCAGATTTCAATGATTCTTTGTCTATAGATATTGTATAGTGTTCTAATGAAAATCCTAAGAGAGTTTGGATTCATATTCAGATTTGACTAAGCTATCAATTTTTTTTCTCCGAGGCTCCAAGTTTTCGGAAAATTCGTATTTTTGAGTTTTGACCTGAAACTTTTTGCATATAGAGAACTCAACTAGACTAGTTTCCATAAAAAAATTCACAAGTTT